CGCTGGTCGGACCCGTCCCGGCCATGGCTGCGCGTGTCCGCCCGCACGCCCGACGAGACGCGCGCGGCTTGGAAGTGAAGGAAGCCCCGCGGCGATCTGTCCCTCTCTCTGTCTCTCTGTCTGTCTGTCTGTCTGTCTGCGTGTGCGTGCGTGAGGCGCGTGCGCAGCGCTCAACGCATGGCGCTGACTTCAGGCTGCGTGCGTGCGTGCGTGCGACTGAGCGGACGCGTGCCGCTTGTTCTTCGCTTTAAAGGCTCTCGGGTCCCGGGAAGAGACGCGCACTGCGAGGCGGGACTTCGCTGGTTCCGAAGGCGGAGTCGACCCCGCCCACCTGGAACAAGGTGTCAATCAAAGCGCCAGGAGCTTAGCCTCTTTGAGCTTTTCTTTGTTGTTTACACATAAATATAAAACATAAAGGTGAACATAAGGACAGGCAGCAATGAGACCACGTGGTGTGAGTTACCTGAGTCCAGGTAGGATCCGCCCTCCAACACTTCTCTGGATGATCATTAACTACTTTGGACACTTTTGTTGTGAGAGCAAATTATTTCAGGATGAATTTATGTATTTATTTATTTATCTCGCTGCAGACTTTTTCATTTGTTTGAAAACTACGCTCTTGACATCACTGAAATCATTATGGCTGACTCATATGAATTGTCTTTAAATGAAGCCTCTAGGGCGCTAAAAACAAACGTCATGTCTCTTGCATCGGTTTTTGTTCTACCCACTTTAAAACACGTTTTCTACACATTTTGTTTGGTGCTTGTAAAATACGATGAGCTACATTTGCCCCTGAAAGCAGTGGAAGTTGTGCGCGTGGTCTCTGTGAGGCATAAAGTGGACCATGTAAGCCCACATCCCACTGTGGGGCGGCTGCGTGGTGCAGGAGGTTTATACAGACTGAAATATGACATTTGCACTGACTTCCATGGAGGCTTCTTGAAGGTATGTTGTCCGTATGTTGTCCGGAGAATCACATTTGTCACTCGGCGCCAACGAGAGAACAAAGTCTTCACTTATTCAGAGAAATATTTTAGAGCTAAAGGAAGCTAGTGAACTAAAGTGGTAGTGTCTCTGATTACCAGGGTCCTAGAAAACCTCTCATTCTACTGCAGCAGGCTCTCCCAGTCTGCCCTGCTGGAGGACCATGGTCTGTCCACGGTGGACTGGTCTCTGCTGGAGGACCTGGGTCTGTCCACGGTGGACAGGTCTCTGCTGGAGGACCTGGGTCTGTCCACGGAGCTTCTGGTCTATGGCTGGAGCGACTATGTCTGTAACCGGCGGCCAGGTCTCTGCGAACGCAGGACGGCGTTCAAAGAGGCGAACGAGCGCCCCGCAGGAACCGACAGTAGTTCAGGTTAAAGACGGGCAGATGGTGGTTGTTTTAGGTGAGATTTTAGCTTAGTTAACTTTGAGTTCACTGCTTCTCTTCACCTGTCGTGTCGCTCGGTGTCTGTGTGCGCGTTGGTGACGTTCATTTACATGTAAAGTGAATATCGCAGCACTAGAAATGATTGCACGCTTCCAGAGAGAGTGCGATATGTCATTGTGTCACATATTGCGACAGGCCTACCTGACTCGTGGGGTCCCCCAGGAGGTTACATATGTGGGGCACAATCTTACTGAGGGTGAGGCCTTGAGCCCCGTACCTGGAAGACAAGAATGTAAAATATGTTCTGAAGATCATTGCGGAACAATGGTCTTTTTACCAGTATAACCAGTGCAGCTGACTCACGTGCTCAGCGTGGCGATGAGACAAAGGCACACTCCTTCTCTGGTCCTGTTGTTCTTGTGCTTGAAGCCCCCCAGCATCCTGTCCCACACGTACTGCACACACACACACAAATACCACAGGAGACATTAAAGGACAGGAAACAGACGAGAGACAGATGCTTCCTAACGTGGGTCTGAGATGAGGTGGCACTCCACACGCCCGCTACGCCCGCTACGCCCCTCTGTCCGTCCCTTCTCACTTCTATAGAGAACGCTGTCATCGGGAATATGGGATTCATCACAATACCTTGATTGAGCCTTTATATCTACCGGTTGCTTTGAAGAGATACTGTTTTCTGTCTCCCTGTGGCTGCGCTAACACAAGGGCCATGAGAAGCTGCACACAGAGAGGCCCTATGTGTGCCAGCAGAAGGGCCCCTGAGGTCACTCCCTACCATGGACAACATCCACCTCCACCGACAGGTACCAACCCTTCCATACAAAAGGTGCCGTAAACGTAATTCGGCCCCTTAGCCGATACTATCGAACCCTGTTTATTACCACGTTAGTTACATGTTAAGGATGACAGTAGCAGAACGTCACATTAACAGCTCAGTGCAGTGAACAAGCTGCAAGGATATCTGGGACTATTCAAGAGAACATCATGTGTGTGTGTGTGTGTGTGTGTGTGTGTGTGTGTGTGTGTGTGTGTGTGTGTGTGTGTGTGTGTGTGTGTGTGTGTGTGTGTGTGTGTGTGTGTGTGTGTGTGTGTGTGTGTGTGTGTGTGTGTGTGTGTGTGTGTGTGTGTGTGTGTGAGTACCTGCGGGCTGGCAGCTTGTTCCATGATCTTCAGCAGCACGGTTTGGTCTTGGTCTCTCACTTGGTCTTTAGCGTCTCCCAATCGATCAATGAGGCTGGGCAGGACTGAGGGAGAAAGCACAGCACAAACACTGAAGGATCCCAGGAGAAGACCTGCTGTTTAAATGATAAAGTCCTGATCCTAAGCTGTGTGGCATTTCTGTGACATTGGTCTAATTAGCACACTCCTTCATGCATTCGGGCTAAAAAGGGTTTTTTGAGGCCACAGTGATCTTTGACCACCAAATTATAATCAGTTCATCCTTCTTTTCAAGAAATTTCAACAACTGTAGATGGAAGTTTGAAATTCCCTGCATAGTGGGCTCACGAGAATGTCCCTCTATTTAATTAAATTCATTCATTTGAAAGGCCGTGGTGTGTAACACCAGCTGTAGTAGCACTCTCCGTCATGTGCATCCACAGTTATCAGTTGTAAGGTGCACAGAGAACACAGACACACATATCTATTGCCATGGCGATCATCTCTCAACGGTTCTGTGGGTCCCACAATGAGTCTTACCGGTTCCCACGTGGGCCCTGAACCGCTCCTGGAGCCTCGTCACTAAGGCGGATAGGAGGTCCAAGCCGAGCAGAGCCACCTGGTGGAGACACAATTATACACAGACGGCGTTGATCTCAATGCAAGCTTTAAAGTTTGAAACCTTTCATCAAACTGAAACATCCATTTTCTATCGTTCCTAACGTATCGTTGATAATGACAAATTAAAGGAACAATCATTGCTGCGAGCCAGGACGGCTGTACTGAAAATGAACAGTTGCAAAGGACTCTGGGTAAACAACTATTGCGCCTGGACGACACCGCAAGCTTCACAGCGCGACACTACGACCCATCTGGACTGTTGTAGCACATAAGCCCCAGTTCCAGATGTGCACCGAGACTGATCACTGTACAACCAGACCAGATCAGTCACGTGACCTCGGCCCCCGTGGACCCCGACCAGGCCAGAGGGACAGTTGTGACACCTGTGTCTGTGTAGGAGAAATACAGCGGACAATAAACTGATGCACTTCTCATTACTATTGAAATGACCAAGCACCCGTCCGAGGTCCAGGACCTCCGGGGTCGTCCCGTATCATAGAGCTTCACAGTGCTCATGTCACATGCTGGTAGCACAGGACCTGAGCGTCCCAGCAGGTCCACAGGCCCGGTCCTCAGACCGGTCCCTTTGTTCTCCAACTGGGGGGAATTAAGGTAATTAGGCGGATGAGGGGGGACCAAAGTGACAGAGGGGGGTTGAACAGCGTGTGGACCTGGTTCAGATCCAGCAGGAGGTCCGTCCAACAAGGTAAACACGCTCTCTTTCCTGTGACAAAGGAACCACGGCAACAACGGCACCCCGTGTTTGAGCAGACAGATGGCTAACCCCCCCCCCATTGAGGCGCTCAACCCAAATCTCAGACGTCACCTCTTCCCAAATGGACCATCGACGAGCTAGGTCCTCCTCTCATCCCCAGTAGACCCCCTCATGCCCGATATGAAACAACAGCAAAGTGGTTTCAGGAATCTCTTAAATGCTCCTTTGTTTTCTCAAACAGAAGCCGACCAGCCCACAGCTCTTCATAGCCCGGCCTCCTGTGGACATGAGAGGCTTTGGACCTGGTTTCCTCTGCTTGGAACAAACCGGGGCCCTTTGGAAAACATCCTCATTAGTCCGTGCTGCTTAGTCCATCATCTTAACACGTGAGGAAGCAGCCGAGGGAACCGCTGGGTGGACTTGTGGTTGCATGGCACCTTGTTGGGTACACCTGTTCATCGCTCGCTAACCAGCCAGTCACATGGCCGCGTGCATTTAGGCGTGTAGACGTGGTCAAGGCAACGAGCATCAGAATGAGTCTCAGGGAGTCACAAACCGCTGATGTACTCAAATGTCCAGTGTTGACGTGGGAGGTCAGAGGACATCGGGCAGACGGGGTCCACATGATAGAAAGGCAACAACAACTCAGATGGGGTCCGACCTTTTACCCAGTAAAGGGGCTGGCTTCTACGAGTCAGTGCAACACTGAATGCCATCGTGGTGTTGGGGGGCACAAGGTGGCTTAAAACACACATGATCCTAAAGTCTCTGTAGGCTGCGTCCACAGTAGACTGCAGCAGTAGGCAGATTTACCAACACGGCACAATTCTGAACTATTCATGTCACATTCATAGTTCACACTCAGCGGCTCTGGATGACCACTGGATCCAAACCAGAACCTCGTTTAGTCCAAAGATACAACTGTACAGAAAAGGAGATCCAACCGTTCTTATTCTACTTCACTCTGTAGTTCTAAATACAACATTTTCATCATCATGGTCACTTGTTTATTAATTCACTTGGAAACACAACAATTATCTTTTTCAGCTGCAACACTAAAGTTGTTAGGACTTTTTTTTTTGCGTAATGATGTCATAACATGATGTCATGAGATATGACATCGTACATTGAAAGCTGAAAAGAAAAAAAATATCTAAATCTCAAGGAACAACCTCTGCTGAAAACTAAAATGCACACACACACACACACACACACACACACACACACACACACACACATTGTAGAAGCCATTCTACTGAGTATTTGAGCATAATGTTGATGTATGGTTGAAATGCTTGAAATGATGCAATGATGATGTCAGGGGGGCGTTAACTATTTACACGTGACTTGAGTACAGACAGGTGCGTTTTAGTTTTGAAACTATTTTCAACCGCATTACGGATTACGAGACGAAACAAATTTTCTGTTTATAATGAGTATTATTTACGTGTCTGTTGCTGACCACTCGATCAAAGGAATATTGAAGTGACGAAAAACGCTCCTACACAGGTTCTCCTCCTGACTACCAGCCGGCCTTAGCATCCTCCTCTACCGACCTTTACACTGAACCAGGGACACTCCCCCTCATCACCGCGCACGCACACACACACACACACTATTATCTCAATCCTTAGTAGTACCAGACAGAGAGACATTCAAACTGTGAAAGACAACTTATCTTCTTCTGGAATGAGCTCACGACACAAGAAGAGAACAGAAGGTTGGCGCTCATTGCTTTTACCCTCCCGTCTCCTACGGCTGCTACATGCTACTAAGTGTCCGAGGCGCCTCCATACGGCCGTCTGCAGAGGATCCATTACGTCCACCTGGACTGGAGCCGTTACGTAATCACTAGTCTGTGGCTTTTTCAGTATGAGAGGACTGAATCCTTTAGCATCTTAGCCCACAGATGTTGACATGTAGTACATGAAGTACTTCTGCTCCTCCCCATAAGCCTGCAGACCCCCTGCTCTGCATGTGTGTTGGTAGCTCACAGCAGCACAGGTCTGCAGATAGCAGAGACCATCCTGAGAGGAGTGCCCCCCCCCAGGGACGCCTCATTGGGTCACACCCATCTTCAACTTTGTCACTTTGTCTCTTGTCTGTTACTTGTTTGTTAGTGCACTTTATGCTTAATATTTTTCTTCTTTACTTTTTAATATTTAAAATTTTTTGACTTTGTTCTCTTGTTTTATACTAACCCATAGCCTTAGCCTTATTCTACTAACCCATTGCATCAGCATTTCATTCCACTTTATTTTATTACTTGTGCACTGTTGTCTTGTCTGTCTACTGTCACGCACTAATCGCCAAGACAAATTCCTTGTATGTTTGACATATTTTGGCTAATAAATGTATCCTGATTCCTGATTCCTGATCCTGAACCTGTGCACCGCTTTTGATCTTGAGACTAGTCCACACGAAGGAGGAGAAGCACCTGCAAAGGTCAAAGGGTCCTGCTGCAGTGGCTGCGTCTGTAGGATGACTCACGAGGTGAAAGCAGTAAACCTCAACAACATTCTATTTGCAGATAATCAGCATTTATTTATTTTACGGTTGCAGTGTTACATATAAAAAAATAGATATGGATATATAATCTATTTTTTTAATTGCATTGACTTTCTCAGGGGCAGGCTGCTATAGTGGTAGAGGGAAACACTGGCTTAAACTAACTTCTGCTGTACCAGCCAACGGGGAGGGGGTGGGGCGGGGGGGGGGAGGGGGGGTGTGCCATGCCAGGATACCATGCCAGCGTTTGGTGACCACACAGTGACTCGGCAGAGCTCACGGCCTCGGGCAGCGTGGCAAGCAGACGATGCAATGTTCAGTAAACACTCATTAGGAAACACACCCGAGGGCAGAGACACGCAGAGACACGCAGAGACACACGGAGACACGCAGAGACACGCAGAGACACGCGGAGACACGCGGAGACACGCAGAGACACGCAGAGACACGCGGAGACACGCAGAGACACGCAAAGACACGCAGAGACACGCAAAGACACGCAGAGACACACAGAGACACACACAGTCTTTATCTGGTTCGCTTCCTCCAGAGGCAGCACTTCACGCTCGACTTCCTGCAAAACGAGCCTCCTCCTCCAGACGTGGAGCTTCTGATACTAATATCTCTCTCCTCTGTGTGTGTGTGTGTGTGTGTGTGTGTGTGTGTGTGTGTGTGTGTGTGTGTGTGGTGAGCATGAGGTCAGCAGTGTCAGGGATGTATAATAAATGGTAAGTGGACTGTCCTTGTCTACTCATCATTCATACTGCGATGACAGGAGCTACCAAACACAGGGACACCTGTCCATCAATAAGTAACATCCTCGTCCCACAGCTACAGCAGCAGGGACACCTCAGCACGCCGGTCAGCAGCGCCTGGGAATAAACATTACTGGTCATCCACTAACACCAACCATCCTAGAAACAGACAACATGCCGTGTGGCAAAGAGGAGCCGTCTGTCTCATGGACTCTGGGAAAGTCTGAATGTGTGGACACTGCAGACATATTGATGTCTTCTTCAAATGTCCCTGTGGTCACTAAACAGTGGTTTTGAGCTGATGTGTCGGGCCCCTGTGCACAACACAGCCTCTACCGACCCTGAAGCCGCGGGGACGTCTCTCACGCCAGCCGAGCAGCACAACTGGCGACTCACTGCATCTCACCGCTTACAATACGAGCCCTGCAAGCGTCTCACGCTGTGTGGAAGTGTCTCTTGTTTGGAGTGTGGCCCTGTGTGAGTAAGAGAATAACGCCCCACTGCATGCTGGGACTTCTATTTAACGCGTTACCACCTGTAAATAGGCACGGTTGTGTTTTAGTTGCTTTACAAAGACACGTTTGTATCTATGTTCAGGCAGCACTGACCTCCGTAGTTGTCCTCCCTGAGTCCCGAGGAAGACATGTGTCCTACCCAAGGGCAACAAAAGACACATGGCCACCGGTCCAGTCTCAGCTATCAGCAGGTGGAAAAACCCATCTAACCCAGTTTAACTGGTCAGCTTACGGATGCTGCTACCAACCACTGTTTTGGATGGATGCCAATCTCCAATGTCATTGGGTCTAAATGTCACGTACCCGCTGCCATAGAAACGCTGCCACAGCATCGGCCTGACAGGATGGAGGAGCGTCCCTCTATGAAAGGTGGCAGCACAGCTCCCGTAGGCGGAGGGACAGCTGAGTCGGGATGTGTCTCACGCCGGGGACGGCTGCTGGTCTGATAACACTCGACAGTCACACAGACGCATTCCGTTTCCATTTTGAGAGGAGCAAGTGTGCA